TAGAGAACCCATATGCCACTTCCCCTGAACCTCCCTTTCCATCGTTTCACTCATGCTCTGGTTTGATGAGACCACTCCTGCAAAATGACTAGATAACCCTCTCCCTAGTGATGATAAACGTCTCCGCTCCAGTTTTCTAGTCCACCTCCCTCCCATTATAGTGAAACCTGTATCACATCCAATATTAAAACCAGTGAATCTTTTCAATAATTCATAACAATAGGACCAGTAAACCAAACAACCAGTTTTATTCCAATAATACTGAAACAAAACATGCAAAAATAACAAACTTAGAATACTCAGAGATAACATGAAACACCAATCAAACCTGCTCCAAGAGATTATTAAGAGAACATAAATTAAACTTAAGACACCAAAACCCCAATACTCCCATCCTACAAAAGATATCGCACATGATTTCTCTGCTTGGTCCATTCGAGACAACCAGTCACAACACCCCTCAGTTCCTTGCGTATTCTGATGCCCTCGTAAGACAATCATAGAGCCAAAACCATGGTTCAAATAAGCCTCACCAATCCTCCTTATTACCAACCTTTCACCAATCTGCATCATCTCTAATTCGTTTCTCCAAACTTTTTCCATATAAACCAGTAATCGCTGTGTCTTGTTTAAAGAGACCAAGCAGAGAACTTGTGACAGCCTCATTGCATTCACACATACGCTCTGTAATCTGATACAATATAAGTCTATTCATAAAACTGCACTAGTGAGAAAAGACCAAACCCCAAAAATGCTTGACAATATCAAAAGCCCAAGATAATACTCAAAACCACCGTATGACTGATAATACCAAACAAAATCTCGTATATTTTCATGCGCCAAACACATGTTCTACAAGTAGGTTCCATTGTTCTATCTGCTAAAGAACCCATAGTTCCTCTATTTCCACCAGTATAACTGTCAACATATAGCTCAAAATACATACTAGAGATACCTGTTGATACTGGCCATATGGAGTACCGCTCATCCTCATGTTCCAGCATATCCTTTCGAATCCATAACTTAGCGATCTCGCTATTATGACTGAGATCCCCCAAAACCAAAACTCCTCTTGTAATCCCAGAGCCCCCTCTCCATGTCGATCCTCCTTATGATTAACGTTCCGAACCCTCCGATCTCCTCGAACCCTCTGATCTCCTCGAACCCTCTGATCTCCTCGAACCCTCCGATCTCCTCGATCTCCTGGATCCCATCCTTGCCAAACCATCAAAACCCTAGTAGGTAGTCGCCATCGCCATCGCTCCTTAACATTAATCATTTATGGCAACAATATTTTACAGTTAGGTCTACTAAAAAAGAAAAAAACCTAAAATTATAAAACGTGTACACATATTCTTAACAAAAAAATAGTTATGTACTTACCATCAATAACTGACGATGGAAAGGGTTTAGGGTTTTGCTCGTAAAATTTGATCTCTTCACTTAAATCCTTTTGAATCCATTAACGGAAGTTCTTCTATTTCTCTATATTATTTTATTTGACCTTTCATTCGCAAAAATATATTTTTGGTAATAATAAAAAATATTAAAGTATATTGTATAAGTGAGTTTGAAAAGTTTATGAAAGAGAAAAGATGTCAATTAGTTTTTTGTAAATTATCTTTTATTTAGAACTATTTTATAACCCGTAACTTCTGCATGTGAATTTTATATCGAAAATACCTAAACACATAGTATGACACACTTATGTAGCCGAAACACTTATGTAGAGTTTTTTTTTTGAAAAACAAAAAAAAACTTACGTAGAGTTTGGCTAAAAAGTTATCTACATATGATACATTAGCTTATCAATTCTCAAATTAATATGAAACTATTACGTGTCAACTATAGTATAGTATAAACGCATTTATTAGAATGTTTATCTTTTAATATATAGTTTAAAAAAAAAAAACTTTCATGGATTCAAACCGATAATGGTTTCATTTAGGTTTGATTCTACTTAATCTGGTTGATTCGAGAAAGTAATATTGGTTCAGTATTTTACTCTTCAGCATGGATAAATATGTCAAACTTTTTATATATTCAAATATATCTGCTCATTTACGTGTTTTTATAATATACAGGCAAACGACGACAATCTACAAAAGTTAGTATTCAATTTGTGGGAGACATTTACTTCTTCGGGGTTAGATTGGTAGTTGAGATGCCAAGTTGATGATTCATAGATTGGTCCAAATTCTATCGGGTTGAAAGTACTGTGGATAAGTAGTGGCTGTAACAATCAATGATTTTTCTTCTCCAAAGGCATATACCAGGTTAGACGTATGATCTGTTAACCTTTATTTTATTTTTTCATACACAAACCAAACTAAACCGGACAATGGATTTGGTTAAAGTGAATTTTTTTTTTTCGTTTGTCCTGCTAATAATAAAATCAGATTTAGTTGAATATTTTGCTAAACATGGAATTCATTAGCTTATACAAAATGGTTCGATCACCAGGCACCAACGAGCAGGTGAAGAATAACAAGTTTTTTTTTTTTTTTTTGGTCAAAAGAAAGAAGAATAACAAGCTTTAAATGTAGGATAGTGAACAAAGATTGTCAAACAAAAAAAAGATGAACAAAGCTGGCAAACATGGGCTTTGACTTATTGCATCCATCAGCCCAAGAGGCTTATTTACATTGTGTGAGCCTTTTAAGTTTTAAATTTTTGATCCGCACTTAAAAACGTAGATATCATTTTTGTTGTTTTATTTACAGATAGATCAATAAGTCTTTTGCTTTGATGATATAAATATCACTATTTAATATATTTTTTTAAAATTAATACAGATTTTAATTTATTGTTATCATCAATATCTATATAAATATATTGTATATACGTAATTGTGTAGTTTTACTATGCGAAAATAATATTAATTAACTACGTCTGGTGTTGGAAAGCGGGTCAAACTCGCCTTGTCTGACCCGCAAAGAAAATATATTTATCTGCATCCAATTTTACGGGTAATCCACGGAACCCACAGATAATTATTAAATAACAAAGTAATTATTTTTATGATTAAATAGTATATTTTTAATTAAATTTTTAATATTTAAAATATACTAATTATTTTAACGAAAATTTAGTATATTTTTGAAAAATAAACTTTTTTAAAACAAAATTGTTTTTCTATTTTTTGTGGATTACCGGGTACCCGCAATTGAAATTAGAATAATCCGCACCCGTTTCGCGTAAAATACACTTGACCTGCACCCGCAACTTAGTTTTTTCAAATCGATCGACCCGTTTTGTGGCGGGTCAAACGGGGCGAGACTCACGGGCTAATATCAAAATTATCAGCTCTAACTACGTTAATTAAGGTTGATGTGTTTATTTTTAAAGAAATTTCATAAATAATTAAAAAGTGAATCGAATCCATTAGTATATAGTTTTAGGCAAAAAAAAAGATAAAATTGACATTAATGAAAAATTAAATTTGTTCATAAGATTAAGGGTAAATTTGGAAAAAAATCATTCATTAAAGATAATGTTTCTATTTTAATGGTATTGATTATTTGTGATGTATTGTTCTAATTACCGCTTAATTTTGAGTGGTGACATGGTAGATGACATTTATCTGAATAATTTTGTTCACCAATTGTATTTAACAGTTTAACACAACAGAGTAAAAATGATGAGAGATTGTTTTTGTACACTATTAAAAGTAGTATTGTGATGAACACCATATATACTTCCATCTGAGTTCCTTCTATCAAGATGTGAATCGAGGGCAATATAGGACACTGGGGCCATAGATTGTAACATGTCTGGCAATACTCTAGCGGTATGCATGTAATCTAACGCAATATCTTCATTTTCTCCTTCTTACTTACAAAGCGTTTGGTTCTAGAATTCCAAGGAATTTACCTTCACTGCAATAACTGCTTGAATTCAAGAACTTGATCCAAAAAAAAAAAAAAAAAAAAATTGATCCATATGAACGCTTGTCATAGACATTGCCTATATATCCCTCTAGTTGTCCCAACCTAAAATCTCTTGACTTGGTAACGACTCTTCCTCTTTGCTTTCCTTGTTTTACAAGTTTCTAGTTAAGCTTCATGATGAGTGTAGTGACTATAATGTTGCTTGCTTTGTAGAGGCTTCATGGTTATCCAAAGATGGTGTAAATCACAAGCTCACATGTGCCACAGTGTTCTAAAAAACATCTATAGATTATGTGAAGACAAAAATGACGCCCGGGCTGACAAGAGAGAAACATGAAAGCTGAACCGAGTTTGCAAAATACATCTTAAAAGAACGCAACAATTGTCAAGAAGCTCAGTCTATGGTTATATGGATAACAAATCGCTCTTTTGTTGATGTGAAGATGGGGCAAGTGCCAACTTAAAAAGAAGTTACATGAACCACCACTATTCGATTGACAAATTCACTTGGTCGTGGTCAATATTTAAATAAAGAATTCTATTCCACTTAAAAGTTAAAAATTCTCGACCATAACATGATGAGAATATGTGTATGATGGAATCGAGCTTGCGAACATATACTAATCCAAAGGACATGATTAAAATGGGACCCTCTTTGCACAAAAGAATACTCAAGAAAATGGCACCCAGAACCCAAATCTTCTTTAATCATGTCTAAATCATTTCACGCAATACTCTATTGTTTATTCAAATAATAAACCAATTCTTTCATCCAATTTGTCTGAGTTTTTGGTATTGATTCGTTACAACTTACAGACGAATGTTTATATCCGAATTGCCATGTCATAATTAAGATTATCGAGTTCTAAGCTTAACTTGGTTTGCATTATTGATTCTAGACATATCAACAACATATGTCTTGGACACCCAAACCACTATATAAAAATTTATATTAAAAAAATCGCTAGATAGTCGTCTAAATGCCAATTAGTACTGCCTAAAAGAGATTTTAAAAGTTATTGTAGAAAAATTGTCTCATTTATGACCTGTCTAGACATCCTCTGCCTAAAAATCGGTAAAACAAATTAAAACACTAGGAGTACACAATAAAAGCAAGAAGCATTTGAAAGCAGTCACAAAGAACATCAAAAAGAATAAAAGTATGAGAAGGCTCTTTCTCTTCTCTCTCTTGTTCTTCCTCTTCTTCCACTCATCCTCCTCCTCAAGATCTTCATCAGAATCTCACATCTTCATCTACGGTGGATGTTCACCGGAAAAATACACACCAAACACTCCTTTTGAAACAAACCGCGACAATTTCCTCTCCTCCGTCGTTACTTCCTCCATCGAAGCCTCCTTCAACAGCTTCGCCGTCGGCAACGACTCTTCCTCCTCCTCCTCCGCCGCTGTCTTCGGCCTTTATCAATGCCGTGAAGATCTCCGATCATCTGACTGCTCAAAGTGTATCCAAAACTCCGTCGACCAAATAACTCTCCTCTGCCCTTACTCTTACGGTGCTTCTCTCCAGCTCGAAGGCTGCTTCTTACGTTACGAGACCAACGACTTTCTTGGGAGACAAGACACGAGTCTTAGGTACAAGAAGTGTAGTTCCAAGAGCGTTGAGAATGACTATGATTTCTTTAAACGGAGAGACGATGTGTTGTCGGATCTTGAGTCGACTCAACTAGGTTACAAAATTAGCCGGTCCGGTCTAGTCGAAGGTTATGCTCAGTGTGTTGGTGACTTGAGTCCTAGTGACTGTACGGCTTGTCTTGCGGAGTCTGTTGGGAAGTTAAAGACTCTTTGTGGCTCTGCGGTTGCTGCTGAGGTTTACTTGGGTCAGTGCTATGCTCACTATTGGGGTTCTGGTTACTACGACTTCTCTTCAGGTCGGTCCATGAATTCACTTTATCTACTGAGTAGTGCTTTCATTACATAACATTTTTATTGTTTACAACTTACACATGACATACATAGTCATGCACATGCACACTAGTTTAAACATGGATTATACATACCACAGTTTTTTTTTCCTTTGTATAGGATACATACATGCATGCAGAGTAATTTAAATTTGAATTATGACATTAGATATTAGTTCTGTAGTTTAAAAGTTATATATTGAGTTCATTAGTTGTCTTTCATGGACTGTACTTAGTGACATGGTTATATAATAATATATATGAATGAAAAATTTGACCTACTAGTTTAGAAATCCGCCGCTCGCAGCTGAGAAAAACCACGAACCTGGTAGTGTGCTTCGTTGCACGAGAAAGCTGAAGAAACTACAACATTTTTTTAATCTTTCTTTGTGCTGCAAAGACACCATTAATCTTTTGAATTATTCGTTGGAAAATTCGGGCATCATGATTATAATATGATTGGTCAGAAAAGAATGTTATTTGTAAAATATAATATAAATAATATATATAATATTCTTTTCTTTATAGGCATAGCCACCCATGTCCCCAGTTCCAAACTTTATTGTATTCTTTATAGCTTGATCGACATCACACAGTAGAAAAGTCATTCCACCTTTAGAAATTCTAATTCTTAGCTTGATACTATGGTCTTATCCTGTGTATTTTGTCACATACTAAGATCTTTCATAACTAATTATTTTACTTCCGTGATTAAGATCCAACGAACGGAGATAACGTGGGGAAATCAATTGCGATCATCGTAGGAGTCATTGCTGGGTTCGCAATTCTTGTTATCCTCCTCTCCCTCTGCAGAAATTCCACGCGTAAGTATATACTTAACTAACTAATATGGTTAAAACTATATCACACGTTTTGATCAAGTTTCGGATTTAGTTGAGTCTTGAAGAATTATCATAATCTTATATTCTTATGATGCTGATTCGCAGATTGATATAAAGAAGACATGATTCGAGATAAAAGATTCTATAGAGGTAGAGGGGCTTGTTTTGTTTTGAATTCTCTTATTTTGTAGGAACATATCCGTTACCTTGTTATTTATTTTTGGTTCATCAAAAGGAAAAAAAAAAACACTTCAAGTGACCTATAAAAATTTGAAATGCGACCCGTAATGTCTGGCCTTGAAAGATGATAACTTTATTCCATAAAATAGTAGTTATAGGCTTACATACCCACTTTCCTTTGCAGGCGCAATTATTCGATGCTCATTCACACTTAGACCATAAAATATAATTTACTTTTAGACAAACGTGATCGTCTTGAGTGAGAGTTTTTAGACTTTAAAGGTTCTGCTGGGAATAAGACTTGGCTCCAACCTGTGGTTCGTGTTAATAAGACCAGACCAGGGTCTCTTTTATCGGTTCTTATGGCCGACTTCATAATTTATTTTGAATGTTGGATTAAAAATAATTTTAATTTACTAAATTTCACCACCTTGGAAAAGAAACAATTCAAAAACATAATAATATTCAAAATCGTCTCGAGGACAATGTATGCATATGTTTATCAATCAGAAGCCAGAGGAATCGACCAGAGCTGAGTAAGACGCATTCTCGTCCGAAGCCGTCATGGTCCTAGCCACCGCCACCGTTCTGTTTCTGGTCCTGAACACTACTCCATGTTCTAAACCAGTCAATTCACACAGTTCCAGCTTCTGAGATTGGGTTAACTCCATGCCAGCTTCCCAACAAGGCGTAGTTATTATATCTTTCACTCTCTCAATCTTGTCTTCTGTTACTAAGGTTTTGTTTCGAACTAGCGCAAGACAAGCTTCTTCAGCCGCTTTCTCTCTGATCTGGACCACGTGAAAAAACAAAAGCAAAGTCATATGTAACAAATATAAAATTTTCTAAACAGAGTTTGAGATGGAGATAAGTGAGACATGAACCTTTGGGTATCGGTGGGCAAGGAATGATAAAAGCTGAGAGAAGGCTTGCTTGCTGATGGGTTCCGAGACTGATGCAATATACCCAAGTATTACAACGCCTGCCTCCAACTTTGCAAATATCTTTGAGGCTCTGAGTTCGATAGCTAACGAATCCACCACTCCCTTATAGAAGCTCAACGTATACGCCTGCAATAAAGTGACAGTTGTGGAATGTGTGGATGGATCAATAACAAGTTTTAGCAAGACCTGAAACTCTAAGACAAACCTCTTGGTTCAGAAACATCTTTTCGTCCAAGAGCTCCTCAATTGTCTGTAAGAAGAAAAAGTTTTAAAGACAAAACCACACAGAAGCTAGAGGTTAATTATATACAAGGTAGCGTATTTACCTTAAGACAGGGTACAATAACTCGGTCACATTTCTTGTATTCTTCAAGTATCCAGAGGATGTCATCGCACATGGCAGACTCTCTTGATCGTTGTTCATTAGCTTCACCTTCCCCAAGATACTGAAGCAACGCAGAGAATGAAGCCTCTTTAAGTGATTTTTGTAATCCTCCAGTCGAAATTACTAATCCAGACATCACCCCTTTGCTGTAACAAGGGAAGCCTAATAGCTGAACGAAACGTGGTAAAGATAAAGTCGGCACCTGCAAAAGGATGTACAAAACTTACTGTCATATAAACACTTTGAAACCAACGAAGCAACCAAAGGCTTCAAGGTTCTGCTTACCGCCCATCGTAGGCCTTCTTGGTTGGGAATAAGTTCTTCCAGTTTCTCTCTATAAGGTATGAAAGGGACGGTTACTGTTTCGTGATACAGAATCCTTTGAAGAGCTTTTGCAGCTGTTTCTCTTAACTTATCCATTTTCTCCACTCCTTGCTTCACAATCCCTCCAATCAAACGGTTTGCGAGATTTGAATCAAAAAGCGAGTATGAATCATTGTTACCATCGCCCTCTGAATTTGTTCCGACTTTCTTACAGAGAATGTATGTACACTTCTCAAGTCCATGAATTGCAGCTTCACGAACCCAAGAACCTACATCGCCTCTGTTATCTACTGAATAGTCATCAAGAGCTTTCAGTAAAATATCCATCACTTCAGTCTTGATAAGAATAAGAAGAGACGGGTCATCGTTTCCAGGATCACTAGCTCTTGGCTGAGTAAGAGTCTCACACACGGATGTCAGTCCCTTTACAGCATTCATGCGTGCCTCTGCATCTCTATCTTCAGGATTCGCCTGCATGGAGGGAAAACAAAACCATCCATAGAAGACACATTTTCATACAGTTTTTTTTTTTTAAATGGAGACTGATGTACTAAAGTCACATGTTGTCTTCTTTACCTCTATCATACAGGCACTGCAGAGCTTCAAAACTACATCCTTCCATTTTGCAATTAATAGTTCATACGGCAAAACACCTAATGCAAGTGCAGAACCTCTTCGAACAGCTACATTTGGGTCCGTTAGATGTTTCAGGTGTTTTGATATTAAATCAGCAGCTTTCTTGTCATTGCCAATTAGATAGGATTGTACAAGCTGTTGAACAGCACTGACAGCTGCATTCTGAATAATGAACGAAACTTTACGTTAACAGATGAAATAAATAAATAACTTGATGACAATTAGAAAGATAGTTACCTGTATCTGAGAATTGGGATGTCCTAGATTCACAGTGAGGGTATCAAGCAGGATCCGTTCGGTTCTCTCAGATAATGTCACATGCGATGACGAGATACACTCGATAAACCGTGAGACAGCCAGTCGCATTATTTCTCCACCTTTTCCACGGTAAAGGCGTGCTTTCTCAATGGCAGGGACAATACCAGCAATACGCTTATGGGTATCTGTAAAAATTAAGTGCACCGGGAACATTAAACTTAGAAGATTCCAAGACGGTCCCCATATTACTAAAAATGATTTGTATTTTGCATATGTAAAAATGCCACAAAAGTCAAAGCTGAAAAAGCGATGGTACCAACCAGCAGAGAGGACATTGCCACACTGGTGCAGAGCCAACACAACCTCTCCAGCTGCCAATGTGGCACCATGGCGCATGCACAAATCAGCTGAAAGGGTACAAGGAATAAGTTTCTCCAGCACATACTTAACGAAGTACTCAGGCTCGTACTTAACAAGAGCAGCAAGAGCTTTTGCTGCAAGTTCTCTCAAGCTTTTATCCTGAAAAAATCATAAGACTAAATAATAATAATGATCATATTATGGAAGATACAACTAGGAACAAGGAAGGCGAAACAGTATCAAATAAAGCATACCCAGTGGCAGATCTTGTTGTATAGCAATTCATCCACAAAAGGATAGAGATACCCTTCATACTGAGCAATGGAAACCGCAACCTGAAGGTAAGAGTTCACCCGGGACGAAAGGGAAAAATAGTCAGCTATGTTCACTATGTCAATCCCATGTGGGTAATTTCCTTGCCTTCCAACATTCTCTTGGAAAGCAGCGGCGGCAGCCCTTCTACAGTTCACCTGGTAAAACAAAACAATAAACTTTACGCAATGGCGATAGAGGAGATCTACAAAACACACAATTCTTCTACCAATCAAGAAACGGAAAAAGAAACAAAGTATAGATGAAGGAGTCACTAATACCTCTCTATCAAAGGAACCAACTATCAATAGATCAGGAGCAAGTTGATCCAGCACGTTTTTCATATCTTTGTGGTAATAGGCACGCCCAAATGCCCAGCAAACATAAGCCGCTGCATCACGCACATGAGATCCAACACTGTGCGGACCTCTCCGGACATCATAATGGAGTGCCTGAAATGATTATTAGACGTGAATCGATAGAGGTTCTTAATAATTTTCGTCAGTGATGCTAATTGCTTTCCATGCCTTGGCTAGATAAATAAGTAATCATGTGCATTGCATATAGGACAACCTTCACAATAATTGGGACGACTTGTGGGAAACTTCTAGGCAACAGTAAACCTCTACGAGCCAGTTCAGCTAAAGCCAAACAACCCCCATGCCATGAACCATCTCCCTGAAGATCATGAAAATCACAAGAGCAGTTAGCTACGTAATGCCTTCTGTATGCAAGCCATGCTGCCAGATATCAGTTATGAGTACCTCTCCTGGGGAAAACAGCTCCAATACAGATGACAGCACCTCTTCGGAAAGAACAGATGTTAGCCGGGAAGATACACGACCTATACCCTTTGCAGCAGACCAACGAACCACGGTATCCTACACGGTTCAGAAAACATTAAATTTTCGAAACGAAAATGCTTGCATATACCAGTAACATGTGAGATTGTCCGGTTGCCAGTTAGTGTACATCATGTGGTCATCTAGTTGTATAACTCGAGATACCACCTCTAGTTATCAGCCTAACAGTGGGATCAAACCCACTAGAACATACCGTGTCTCGGAGACCAGAGAGTAACATTTCAATTATCTCTTCTAAAATTTCAGGAACATCCATATCTTCATCCTCTTGGTCATCCAAATTTTCTGGTTGTGAGACGGATGCACCAGCATGATCAGGCGTCAGTCTTTGGGTCGAACCCGTAGATATATTTTCAGAAAGAAAGGCGGTTCGAGCCTGCATGGTAATTTAATAAACAAGTTTGAGATGACTAACTGAGATTATGTCAATTACAGCATTAACCATTAACTCTATTAAAGCCCATGAAAAGGAAGTTGCTATTTGCATTTCTATTATACATGTTAAAAGGTAAGTACCACATAGCGCCAGGAAGGTAAGCGATGAGGAAGACAAACAAGCCCAATCCTCTGAGTTAACTTGATCAAATACTTGCGAAGCAGAGGACTTCTAGTTGCTGCATTTGATTTGCTTAGCACGGTCACATTATTCAAAACAGTAGGAAGCACATCCAGCAACAGTTTCCGGCTAGCAGTCTGCCAATGATAGTAGACATATAAGATCCAGATGCAAAACAAAACGAAAACTTAGTTATCATAATATCAAAACAAAACTTATATAATAAAAACCAGCAATAGTTCCGACAAGATCAAAACATTCAAATCGGATATTAATTTTCCTGCCATCTACATGTCTTTTAGCAATGAAATCTATATATGTCTAACGTGTTCAGAATGGACCATAACTAAAAGCAAAGTGAACAACTCCAAGTTACAAAAAAAAAAAGAAACCTTAAAAATGGCAGCCAGGGCCTCCATCACACCAAGCAAGCGGAAGTGGTTCACCACACTATCTTCCTTAGAATTT